TTTCCAAGGCATCTTTGCATCCTCATTCCATCCTAAGCATTCCTAGGCCATGTTTAAGACTCTATAATGAGGATTTGAGGTTAGAAACACACTAAGAACCAACGACGTAAGTTTTGTGCAATTAGAATGTGTGTTTCAAGTGTGTGTCCGTTATGTGTTATGTAGGTCACGTGTCGTGTGATCAATCTGCTCCGTCTGTCTGTTTCAAGGCCAACTGTGAGTAATAATTTAGTAAAGTTATGTTCAAACTGTATCTACTTTCTGTGTGATAAAACAAGATCTGTTTTCCAAAATGATATGTCATGTACAATGAATGATTGTTCAATTTCTGATATGTATTTGTGACATCCTTAGCATCATGTGATATATGTTAGCTGTTACCCGGTATTGGAGGTTCATTTATGGAACTTATTTCTGTCTGCACTCTGTTACCCGTACCGGAGGCCCTGTCACGGGGGCTCAGCTTCTGTTCTGTTCTGTTGCCTGGATCCGGAGGTTCCTTTATGGAACTGGTTATTCGTAACCTCACGTGTATACATTCTGTTCTGTTCTATTAATGCTAATGGATGTATCACGTAAACTTAATCATGACTTATGATTTCTGTATGTATATGATCTAGACAAATGATGAATTTGATACAAATCTGAATTAAGATTTTCCGAATTTGCACGAACTCATTCATTGAAACCCTTTACTCTATTATTATTCACTGGGCTTCGCTCACAGTTTATATTATGTATGTAGGTGAGCCGGTATGTGGCCAGCGCCAGAGTTGATGGCCTTCTGTTTTGTTTTTGTCAACCAACTGTTGTGCCTCCCGAGGAGGTTCTGAACGAAGTCTAAGCCATGGCTGTTTTTGTAATCATGCTAGTCTTTGTGTATGCTCTGTACAGTCAGGTCTTGGGAAGTACATTCTGTAAATACCTTGTAAATATTGTGTATCTGGACTGGCATGTTTATGTATATATATAAATAAGTTTTGAAATGTTCTGCCTCATGTACGTTATCACAACTCATTGGACCTTGTCTATCTTGTATTATTCCTTCCGCAACCCCTTATTATTTGCTAATCTGTTCAGAGGCCTTTGGTAATCCACGGATTACTGGCCAGTTACGGTGCAAAGCCTACAGGGGCGGGTTTGGGTCGTGACACCACTCCTCTTGTCTCTATCATCAGTCTGCCATCGAGAAAACTTGCATATCCAGATTTAAATCTAACTTATGATCAAGATATGATATTGCTAAACTCATATTTATACTCTAAGTGACTATCTCAAATCTACAATGATTTATTTTGTAACGTAGAGGTCAAGACTTTGACATTACTACTATTTGTTTTGATGATTGACAGATCATTAAGGTATTGTTTGGTGGTGATTGTTTAGATTTTTTTGTATTTTGATTTTTGTGTTACAGTAATGTCTCTCTGCGTAGATGTTTCCTCCTTTAGTAGAGGTTTTCTCCTCTCAGCATAGAGGTTTATTTTTCTCCATGTGTGGTGTCTCCCTACGATAAGGCCCTTTTTATCCCTTTTGAAATTTGTTTTGTACTTCGATATATATCATCGAACAACTTAATATCGGATATGTAATATATTAAGTTTTGTACTTTTCAATAAAAAAATTTGGGTTATTTATTTCATAGATCTTGTTATGAGGACCTGTGCACCATTAAGTACCACAACTGTTTGTATAGATCAAAAAGTTATTTTGCATATAAAAAGACTCCTTACTTCTTCTATTTCTCTTTTTGATCTGCAAACTGATCGACGACGACCAATCACCATCGATCGGGGTTCAACAACCACTGATAACTTGCTGCAATTGCTGCTCTACCTCACTGGTTTTTCCCTTACCTTCTTTATCGTCGACGAACCTCTTTTCGTGTCCTCTTACACTCCCCTCGTCTTTCTCCGCTTGTTATTGCAAACTGGAGCTCCATCATTATTGTTGTCTATTAGATTTAACCATATCTGACTAGATCTACATTAGTTTCAACTAGATCTAAATTAAAAATGGTCACTAGAGTACCATATTTGACTAGATCTACATTTTTAGATCTAAATAAAAAACTATCATCAGAGTACAATCCTCTCTATATGTCTGTCTTCCTCCTTCTCTGCTACAAACTTCTCTTTTCCTATTTTAACAGAGAAAATTTTCAAATTCTGAACAAATATTTTTTTAGTTTTAGTTATAAGCCGTGAAAATTGAAAAAATTTACAATTTTGAAGATATATTTATACTTTTCTCTATTACTTCAGTATTTTTTATTTATTTATTTTTTATAGCAAATATTAACTATTTAAGACCAATTGATAAAAAACAATCTTATTTTGGTAATGCATATATTCAGTTTTGAATACTTTAAAAAAATTTACATTTTTAAAGACACGTTTATGACTATAGTTTCTTTTTTCTTTTTTTTAATAAAATTTTTTAGCAAATATTGACAAATTGAAAAGATACAAACTCTTATAAACTACTTATTTGAGATCTAAACCATCGTAGCGACGTGAAATTGTGTTTTGATAAATTGCAAACGTTTTGAAACTACAAATTTTAAATTGTAAATTTATGCAGTTTGATGAGTAAAAAAATTTAAACTCCAAATATTTGTAATTTTGCTATGTTTTCGCTCTAATTACTCCCTTTAGTCTTTTTTGATAAAAATATTTTTTTCCCCTTTTTGTGGTATTAGGAAGAAGTAGTTAAATTTTGCTATGTTTTCACTCTAATTACTCTGTTTATTCTTTTTTTTTTGATAATGTTTTGGATATGCCCATAAGTGTTTGGTTATGTTCTTGACGTGTCTGACAGAAGTCTGGTGATTGCCCAACGGTGGATGTGGCAGTGATAGTAACAATAGAACATAAGGGTATTTTGGTCTTTAAATTTAAAAAAGTAAAATATAAGATTTTGTAATAACAATTAAGAAGTGAACTGAACTTTTTGATGCACCAAAAAATTAAAAGGATTTGTTAGTACACATATCTTTTTTAGTCACTTAAATTTAAGTGGTGCTACATCTTCTAATCGTTCTTATTTTAATCTCTAATGAGAGGAAAGAGATACAATAGAGAGATAGGCAGAGAAGTGTAGGTGTACCCTCCGTATGGTTCATTCCATGTCCTTCCCAAGCATTTTCTCTTAAATTTTTATTTATTTATTTATTTTTTGAGATCAACAACTGGCACGAAAGCCAAAAGGGAATGGGTGAAGTACTAATAAATTTTAAAATTTGATTTTATAAGCTGTTTAGTCTTTATTTCTTTCTTATGAACTTAAAGATTCTATTAAAATAGAAATTATACAAAAAGCTAGTCACTTGCCGATTTGGCTTTAAATTTTGAAGAATAAAAATAAGTTTCTCCAAATATACAATCGCACTATAGAGATTTTGGATTTTTCTCCATCTGGACCAAATCCCACATTACGAATAAGAATATAACATTTCAATGTAACACTCCGATAATGTAACATACTAAAAAACTCATTAATGTATTTTTTCTAAATGTAACAAGGTAGTATTCTAAAAAAATTTCTTAGTATACTTTTCCCAAATGTAACACTTCAATTTAACACCAAAAAAAATTTCTTAGTGTATTTTTTTCAAACGTAACACTCCAATCAATATAATTCCAAACGTAACATTCCAATATAACATACTCTAACGTAACACACACAAAAATACTAAAAAATTCTTTAGTATACATTTCCCAAATGTAACACTTACAGTTTGAAATTATACAATTGTCCAAAGCATATTAAAAAAAATTTGCACTCCTTTTGGAATGTTTTGAAATATCTCACATTCTTTTTTTAGAGTGTTACATTGGAGTGTTATATTTGGAAAAAATATATTAAGGAATTTTTGTGTATGTTATATTGGAGTGTTACATTAAGGAGTTTTTTTAAAGTATTATATTGCAGTGTTACATACGGGAAAAGTACACTAAGAAATTGTTTTTAGAGTGTTATATTGAAGTGTTGCATTAAGAAATTTTTTTAGAGTGTTATATTGGAGTGCTACGTTTGAAAAAAGTACATTAATGAGTTTTTTTATGTGTTACATTGGAGTTTACACTAAGAAATTTTTTTAGAGTGTTATATTGAAATGTTACGTTTGAGAAAAATATACTAAATAATTTCTTTTAGAGTGTTACATTAGAGCGTTACAGTTTGAAATTATATATTCGCCCAAAGCTAACTAAGGAGTTTTGTGCTTTTTTTGAAATGTTTGAAAAATCCTACATCCTTTTAAATGTTTGAATAATCTCATATTTTAAGTCATTTTTGTACTCTTTTTGAAATGTTTAAAAAATCTCACATTTTAAGTCATTCCAAATAAAAAAAATTATCATATAAAAATTCATGTCAAATTTAATTCTCATAGATTGCGTATCTTATTTTTCTAGCACAAAAGAAAAAAAATAATAATAGAAATAAAAATATAATTGTAAATTAAATTTTCAAATAATATATTAAATCTATCATTCTAAAATGGATGAACTAATTGATTTATAAAAAAAATTCTTAGAGGCCTCATATGGGAACATGTTTTTTTAGTTACTTTTTGACTTTTTGATTAAAATATGATGTAAAAAAATTAGTATATTTGAGATAATTTTTTAACTTTTTACGAAAATGTGTACAAAAAATAGAGAAATATTTTTTAAAATTTTTTTTGATATAAATTATTATTTTTTTAATTTTTGTAATAACTTTTTAATTTTTAAATTAAAAAATAATATTATCAAACGAAACCATAATTTATAAGATTTTGGATTATAATTTAGACAGCGAGGTTGGAAAAATTTTTAAATGCAATTATAATAATAGTCCTGATAGAGACCCAGTGAGGTGACCCCGCCAGAAGTCACCCCGAGAGGGGTTGTCACTCATTGCTATTACGAAAATGATCCAGAGCTCGAAACTCTACGGCTCGAAATTTTTTTCCCTTTTCAAGCAAAGGAGCTCTGCACAAACATAGGATTGTCTTAAAAGCTTTTTATTTTTATTTTTATTTTTATTTTTTATTATTAAATAATATGTTCTGTCTGCTAAAACCTAATGTATGATTGCTCCGTACCTGTTTGTTCTTCTCTCAATCCAATTTAATTTTTTTTGATGGGTTACCAGGTAATCATTATTATGTAATTGGATCCAAGATGTCTTCAGCTCAAGATCCATTTTACATTGTTAAGGAAGAGATTCAAGAGTCTGTAAGTTTTGATTTCCCCATTTTCTTGCCATTTTTTGCATTATCTTTTGAAATGTAACATCCATCTGCTGTTTCCTGATCAAACAATTTTTTATTTTTTATCGGATTCATGTTAAAAGATATGAAATGTGGAGATTTTGGTCTGGGTATTCAAAAACTTAAATAAGAATTTATATAAAAGAAATTATTATTAATTTGCAATAAATCTCTCAATTTAAACTTTTCAAATCATAAGCAAACAATAATTTTAATGTACTATTGTTTCAATACAAAAATAAATAAATAAATAAATCAATATATGGTATTCTACAATTCTTCTCCACATGCCATACCTCTCAACTTAGTCTTGATGGAGTTTAAAGGCATTCTTTCCCAAATTTAGTGTCATAATTCAATATAAGCTAATTATCGAGATAGCTGTCTTCCGGGTATTACCCTTTTTTTTTTTCTATTTTTATTTTTATTTTTATGTAATGGTAGCTTTTTTGGTCTTTTCACTATTGCTATGTATCAAAATAAATAAATAAAAATAAAAATAAAAATAAAAAGATGAAAAAAAGAAAAAAGTATATGAGCTAGATGCATTTTGAGTGTGACTCAAATCATCCCAACTTTCATTCTCTTTCATACACTTCACCTTCTAAGGACTTTTTTTGGGAGGATGTTACATTTGGAATTAAAAAAGGTTGTGAGTGAGTTGTGGGGTGGATGTGCACAGTTTGAAATAAGTGAGTTGGGTGTTCAAGGTTTGTACTATGTGTATTTAATTTTTGTGAACTTGAGTGTTCAAATTATAAGGAGTTAACTAATTAACCTATAAATTGCTTATATATACAAAGAAAAATAAAATTAGGGACGGTATTCAATTGATACCCTATGATGGTAGTGCCGTTGCCCCTAATAGAATACCAATATATCTTGAGTAAGTATAGTATTTTATTAGCATTTTATTGAATCCTAGCATTGAGAGGCTAAGTCAAAAGTTTCCAGCATTACTGTTTTTCTTTTCTTGTTTGTAATCTTTTCCTGTTTACATATCTCCTTCAATCTATTGGTTCTAATTGAAGTGCCTATTTTTTGCATTTCATTGGTAAGGATTATAGTCTATTAGTTCTCTTCTTGTACTAAAGTAGTAAGTATTACCATAGTTGTCAAATCGAAAATTGTATCATGAATCGAAATCCTAATTTTGCTAATTGTGAACTGAATCGAATCGAATCGAATCGAATCGAGAATCGTTAAGATTTAGTACAAGCTATAAAAAATGATGTTAAACAGTTGTATATATGAAAATTAATGAAATAAATAGACTTTGGCATATGTTACAAAATAATTCTCATATAAGGACATGATTGTACTGTCTAATCGGGAAGACGCGGCCTTCATAGCAGGAGCTGTGGGTCCTATGAAGAACGAATACTTTTAAAAGGGAGTCGTATCCGTATTTAATCTGTATTAGTTACCGACACTCCTCGGATACTTGCTAATACACGTCAGATACTTTTTAAATGTGTCCAATACTTGAATATTTTATTTTATTTTAATTTTGAGAAGTATTAGATACTTTTTGAATACTCTAGGTCATGTTTCAAAACTATTATGAAATTAAGATTGTAATAATTCTTACGTAGTATAAGAGTTTATTTGTTAGGATAAGTAATTTTTCAATACTTTGCTTACTTTTTAAAGAAGAAATTAGTAAGGTTACAATAGTATCTTACTTTTTGAGAATTTGTCTAATTGAAATGAAATTTTTATAGGATCTACTAATAATAAAAAAAAGAAAAAGAGAGAAAAAGAAAAAAAGTAAACTGGCCATTTGTTCTTAAATTAATAACTAATTTTTATAGATGATTTATACCATCCTTTCAGATCATGTATAGTAGAATTCTAAAAATTATAATTTCTATAACAAACATATCCTAGTCTTGCATGTAGGTATTCTATTTTTTTAGAATTTGTCGTATCGCCATATTTGTATTGTATCATACGTGTATCTCGTATATGTATCCTTATTCGTGCTTCATATTGTGGGGCCATATCCCACCAAGCTTAAAATTATTCAAAAACCATAATACAATCTCTCTTGACATTTTAAAAATAGACCTAGGAACCCTCTATCGAGTATAATCAGAAAAAAGAATTAAGTAAAATATTTTTTTGAACCTAAAACATTTTAAAAAGATGTGTATGCTCATTGTTCAAAAAATAGTTTTAAAAAAAAAAAAAAATTTCTGTTGTGGAACCATTGGGTCGGACTTACCTAACTCGTGTAAAATTAAACCATATTGATTTCACTAAAATATAAATAGATAATTCATTGCTGTAAGTTACTTTAACATTAAGCATCTTTAGAAGATGTATTATGAATTTTTTATGTGGAAAAAAATGAGGAAAACACGTTGGTTTGACGAAACCTGGTTGGATTCTATTAAAGCCCTTTGATCACCAAAATAACAAATCATATATAAATATTGGTTATTTTTGTACTAAACACTCTTAAAAGTTTATTATGTTATTTTTACTAAAAAGAAAAAGATATAAAAGGTCAAAACTTGCCACATCATCCACTAAAATGTTGTCTCACATTACTTGAACCTTCACTCCTTTACTTTCCCCTCCTCTATTGTACCTTCTCACCCCACTCCCACAAAAAACCACCTCCCTTCTAATGTAGGACACTTTGGAGTTAGAGAAGAGAGATGAAAGAGAGGGAAGGAGGAAGAGGGACATGACTCTAACGCAATTGCCACAGCCTAAACACTCAAATTCTTATTATTCAAAGAATCAAAAGCTAAATAACACAATGTAAACCCTAATATTTATAAGTCAAGAAACCTAAACAAACTAGAAATTGCATTTTAATAGAATAGGAAAACAAATATTATTAAAATTCTACCCAAACTAAATTTCTAATTATGCTGTAATTGAATAAAAATAGTAAGCTAAGTTACACAATAAACATTAATGCAAATTTAGAAAATATTCACGGTGCACACACATTCCGCATCACCTTCCCTCACCCCACTCTTCCTACTGTCAACCTCCCCCTTTCCAATTAGCTACCTAATCTCTTTCGCTAGTAGCCTCTAGACTTTGATTTGCAGTCTCCTCATTTTTCGAATGACACATACCCACTGTAATTTTTCATTTTCGTCCTTTTGATATAATTTTTTTTTTTTTGGATCAACCATTTCAATATAAAGTTGGTTTAGGGTTTAGGGCAGGGATGGTTTGAGATTAGGTTGGGTTTGGATTTATGGACCAAAGTGGGAAAACTTAATTTTTATTAGGTACCAAAGTGAGAAAACTTAATTTTTTAGGGGCCAAACTGACAAACTTAATTTTTGGAAATTTTAAATTCTCCCTTAACCACGACAAGAGTTGATAATTGGACTGTGTACACACACCCACACCCATACAGTTCGACATGCACCACCAACCCACCAAAGAGATTGCATTTTTGCTTCTTGCTTTGAGATTGTAAAGGATATAATATCTCTCTTATGCTCTGATTATATGCTTGTTAGATTGATAAGTTGCTGTCTACTTTTCACCAATGGGAACATATTCCTGCCTATGGTCAAGAACATCAAAATCTGACAAAAGAGCTGCTTGTTGGCTGTGACAGCATTGAGTGGCAGGTATGCTTCCAAATCTTTGATAATCATCTTAAATGGTTTTGTTGGTGACTTTCTGTGATATGCATACAATTTGTGATTGAAAGTCAAAAAGTGAGCATCTGGATGACTTTGGAGCTGAATTTTGTATATCACATGGATACCGTCGCTTTTCTTATGTTATTCTTTGTGACCAAAAGTAAAAAAATCAGCATCTGGATGTTTTTGGAGCTGAAGCTTGTATATTACATAGATGCAGTTACTTCTCTTTTGTTAGTTTTGACTTACATTACAATCCTATGTGCTTTTTTTATGATGAAATATCATTACTGTACTACCTTGATTGCCACAAGCAATTCTGGTGATTTTTGCAACCTCCTATTTGTCTTTGCTGAAAACCTGCTTTTTTGATAGGAAGGTGGATGAATTGGACAAAACAATTTCTGTAGCAGCTAGAGATCCTGCTTGGTATGGGATTGATGAAGTTGAACTTGACAGAAGGAGGAGATGCACAAGCACTGCTCGTACTCAGGTGTCATTGATGTTATATTTCATACTGAGCCGCGTTGTTGAATTAGTTTCAGATCCCCTAAAGATTGTGCTATGTTATAGGTGCGCAACATGAAGAAAACAGTAGTAGCTGGAAAGGAGTTGGATATAACAAGCACTTCTAATGTAAATGGAATGCGCCGTGAACTAATGAGGCTACCAAATTCTCATCAGACTGACAGATCCAATCAGTATGCAGCTCGGGACAATGATGATTTCATATCATCAGAATCAGACAGACAAGTACTTCTCATAAAGTAGCGTCCTTGGCTCTCGCCTGCACTCTCAGTTTTTCTTCCTTGTATTCATTTATAACATTTTAATCTTTACAACTTATGCATTCTGTAACTTCCCCCCAAGTATGTGTCCCAGTTTCACAAGTTATTTCTGGACAGGAACTGGATTTCTGGGTTATAAGATTTTTTTTATGCTTTTAATTAAACAAATTACAGAAACTTCTTTGGCAGTTTCTTCAAAACCCTTTAGCAGTCACTCTTATTATCAGTTCTACTGTTTTTTATTCTTAATTAATGCTTTCATTTCTGTATTTAAGTAATTGCTACTTTGATGAATCTTATGATTATATTGTCTAATCTCGATAATTAGTAATATTCTTGATAAAGTTTTTTCTATTTTTGTTGGTATAAATTGAAGATTGAGCATATAAATAATGGCATTCTATACTTGGTTGATTGAATGCAATGTGATTATTTTATAAAAAATGAGGGATGGTTTCTCGGGCGTGCATGCTATTCTAGAAACCTGAATTTGCAGAATATTATTTTGTGAAATGCTATTTATCACCAGTTTTATTTCACCACTTTGTTTCACCTCTAGGTGTATTGAGACAATGAAAGCCATGTGTATGTGTAGGACCCACACTTTTAATAATGAATGAGATTGACCATGCTACATGGGAAACCACCTAGGAAGTGAAAAGTTTTGGTAAACTTTCTTGGTGATATAGAGCAGCCTTCAATTATTTTTCTTATTTTGATGCCTATTAATTGGATTATTGGTGCTGCAGGCAACAGGATGAGGAGCTGGATGAGCTTAGCGCAAGTGTGGGGATAATTGGAGGTGTTGGGATTACTATACATGAAGAACTCCTTGCACAGGTAAGTATTGTTTAGGCTGTAATTCTCTGCAATGTTCTCAGCAAAATCTGGCCTACCTGCACTTGTCCCTTCCTCAAGCACTTGCATATGATTCACTTTCTCGAACTGTAGTTATAGCATATGAACCAAGTCAAAAGTGATTTTAAACATTATTCTTGCTGATTAGGAACACTAAATCATGTCTTTTATGGTGTGCCACAGGAGAAGATTATAGAAGATTTGGGCACGGAAATGGAGAGTACATCAAATCGCCTTGATTTTGTTCAGGTGATTGTTTTCATGCACAGATTTGAATTGGATTACTTGCTTAAACTTAACTCACAGCAGTCAAGGTACATTGAATTGGATAATTGCTTAAACATTAACTCACATCAAATCACCTTGATTTCGTTCAGGTAATTATATATCCTGTCCAAGCTGTGACTTTAAAGTTAAGCCTTAAGCTGTTATTTTTTTATTTTTATTTCTAACGAATGAAATGGTTTCATTAGTAACCCAATAATAAAAGATAGAAATGCAGTTTTCTGTTTTTGTTTCTCAAAACAATTTTTTGCTGCAGAAAAAGGTAGCTGTGGTGATGAAGAAGGCTGGGGCCAAGGGGCAGATCATGATGATATTGTTCTTGGTTGTTCTGTTCATTGTTCTATTTGTTCTGGTCTTCCTCACCTAGGCTAAAGTGGAAGAAACCATTCGGCAATTGCATATACGTGGAAGAGAATGCTGATGTTGAAGAATAAGGTGGGAGTTCACAAGGAACGTAATGAATTGGTTGGTGACGTGGTTTTCTTGAATAATTGTTACCTGGAAATACAGCACCGAATGAAATTCGACCTTTTTTTTTTTTGTTTTTTTATGATGAAATAATATAAATATAAAATATATTCTGGTTTTGTTTCGGAAAGTGGTGTAGGTAGGGTTGTTTGTGATTGAACGGGTTTGAGTACTAAATATATGAGACGTTAAATAGGATCATGTGTTGAACAGGTTTGAGTACTAAATATATGAGATGTTAAATAGGATCATGTTTGACTTTCTATTTTATTTGTACAAGCATTCATGAGTTGTTTGTCATGCTTGCTGGTTCCAAGAGTTAGTCTCTCACTGTTATAGTTTTGCAATATAATTTTATTGTTTGGAGAAAATGGTTGACTGAAATCTTCTGTTTCTTCTAGTGTTGTGGTTGTCATTTAGTTGAATAATGTTTGCTAGGTTTGTGAATAGATGAACAATGACAATTTCTGATAGTGTGGAAGAAATGTTATTCTGAAGACTTTGTGGCCACCGACTTAGTCGAATATATATATTTATATAAATAAATTTAACAGATAAGAGCTTTTTTTCCTATATCTATATTTGAGGTTGATGTTGGCTTTATAGTTTTGTAGTTGACAAAACAACAAAATGGAATTTGAGTCCTTAGATATCAATGTTTAATAAATACCAGATGGATACAACCTACATTACACGAACTCGTTAGTTTTGGCAAAGTATATAGGTATGGGTACGGAATCTGGCCCGGATATGGCAGGGAAGAAGTGGATACGGCATGCGGAAGTCAGAAGAAAGATGGTATATTTGCGGATAGCATTACGAAAATTGCGCTTAGGGTTTTGATCTTCTTCTCTCGATCCGTCTTCCCCCTTTTCTCTCACTCTCACTCTTGATCATTCTCTTCGTCTCTTTCTTGTATTGCTCTTGATCATCTTCGTTTCTCTCTTCTCTCTGTGTCAATCAACTTCGTCTCTCTCCTCTCTGTTTTCTTCTCTCCTTGCTCTCTATTTTCTTCTTACTCTTGACCCATCTTCTTTTCTCTCTCTCTCTCTCTCTCTCTCTCTTCTTTTTAATTGTTGTTTATCATATATAATATAATGAGAGCAACTCTTTTTGTCTTCCAAGAAAAAGTGTATTGGCTCTTGAAAGTTGTAACCATTTCACCTTTTCACTTACCAGTCAAAAGACATCCACCTACTAATTATATAATAAATCTAATTAAATCATATATAATAGAAAATAAAAATCTAATAAAATCTATAAAATACATTTTCTATTTTTTTATATTTATTTTAACATAATTTGTTATTCTTTATTTATTATATTTTTGTTGTTTATAATGTCATATAAAAGTAAAAAAAAATAAAATTATATAGATAAATTAAAAATATTATCAATAAAAATAATACATAAGATAAAAGTAATAAATATATTTAAAAAATAACTATTTAACTCATCTTTATATAATGAATATATTTAAAAAAATAAATATTTAACGCATCCCCGTATCCATAATCGTATTTGAATCCATATCCGCGTATTCTCAATTTATAGTTTTGAAGTGTCTGACTCCTAAATACGCACCTGCACCCGATACTCACACCCGAATCCATGTAACATAGGATACAATAAAGCAAATCTAATTAATTAGGAAAATGTGTAGGAAATTTTTCTAAAAAAGCAGGTTCCCTTTTTCTTTTGCTGGAGTAAAAAAATAGGACAAGAGTTGTTTGTGCTTCTTCTATTTTTGCTCCTTTTTCTAAATGATGATCCTTCTGTCAAAAATTGACTTCTAAAATTAGTTATTTGATTATCTTCAAAATGCTTTATTTTTAAATAATATATGCCTGGTAGGGTTAAGCAAAAAATTTGTAAACTGGTTTGATCCAAATCAAATCGTACAATTTGGTTTGATTTTCTCAATATACAATTTAATCATGATCCTTAAGATGAGGGCATATCAGGACTTCTCATTCATCTCAATAACCTTGTGGTTTGGGAGTGCTTACACTAAGAGTTAGAGGTGAAAAACAAGTGTGTTTAAACAGATCACAATGGGTTATATATATTTAAAACAAGACAATCCAAATTCGCATATTTAATAATCAAGTTTAATCAAGTTGGGTTGCATTTGAAATAGTTTGGAAAAATGAACTCAACCAACTTGTTTACCTTATTGAGAGGGTAATTTATGTAAAAATTGGGCCGAGCTGAGTAAATGGGCCGTCATGGGCCACAATATGTAGGGCTGAATAAAAAAGGCTTTGAAGTTAGTCCGGTCCTAAAGTCCCGAAGCTAGTCCGGTCGGGAGGTGACCTAAAGTTAGTCCGGTCTGTAGACGCCTTGAAGTTAGTCCGGTCTTAGAATTAGCCCGGTTATGGCACAATGTGGTTACAAGGGTCAGAACCTAACTATTCGGTAGCTCGGTCTAATCTCACCATGGTTTGTGCATAAAGAGACCGAGATAAAGTGTAGTAGGAGGACGGGACCAAACTACAGATAGTTCGGTCTACTCCATGCCTACTTCGGTCGTATGTTAGTTGGGCCATAATAAAACCATCTCACTTGGTTTAAGCAGTGAGGGGGGTGTTGAAGGATAAGCATTATCTTTCAGGAGTATGAATCCTAGAGGGACTCTACATGGAGGAGTAAAAGTCCTACTAGGATTGTGCCACGCGGAACTTATAAAAGCTCACAACATCACCTTTGGAGAGGTAACACAACCTTGGTCCCTGAATACACAGAGCTTTTGTCTACTTGTCTATTGTGTTGACTTAGGCATCGGAGAGGTTTCCGGCACACACCCACCGGCTAGCTCACATTTGTGTTTTCAGGTAATAAAGCAACAACGTACGGAGGAGTGCAGACTTGATCAACAGGATTATACGAGAAGGTTTATTTCTTTCCCGTACAATTGGCGCCGTCTGTGGGAATAACAGAGAGGACGAAACCTCTTGATCAAGCTTTACCTCTTTAGGAACAATGGCGCACAATGAAGATTTACCGCAGTCCGCCATTGACGGGCAAACACCAGATGGGGCTGCAAGGCGCGAGGGGCTACCTTCTATCCCTCCCATGACGGACTTGGAGCCCCAACGACATAACCACAGGAGGGATACGAGGGGGAGTCGGAGTAACAGCCCCCGTCACTCTCGTTCACAAAGTCCTGACAGGCAAAGGCGGAGGATTGATCCTCAAGCTCTGGAAGACCGCGTGAAGGAACAAGATGAATTAATAAGGAAGATGGCAGTGGACATGGATGCCTTGAAACGCCAGATGAAAAGAAAAGAAGTGGCGACAGGAGAGGGGCGCAAAAACAAGACGCCCCCTCACCACTCAGAAAATCGTAGTAGGAATACCACACCCTCGCAAGGAGAGAGCAGAAGCCTCAGGACAGGTGATACACAATCTAGGTCTTCCAGAACTCGTCACTCCAGGTCTGAGAGGACGAGATCTGAAAGATCGTACACTGAAGGAAGCACGTATTGGCCCTCACATACGCACCAAACCAGATCTAGACAAACGGAGTTACCCAGATCATCCGACTTACGAACCGTGCTCGAAGAAAAGGCACGATGCAAGGAGGATGCTAGGGCAAGGGATCCACACAGAGTTTCTGCCTTACAGCGGTTGGCTCCTCGGACGCATGGAAGCGTCGAGGTTGGAATGCCAATACCACGCCTTGCCTACGAACCAACGGACAAGGCATTAGCAAGGCTGCAGACCTCACCTTTTGTTTCGGCAATCGAAAATGCGCCCCTACCATCAGGCTTCCTTCAACCCAAATTCACTACATATGAAGGGAAGACGGACCCTTACTCACACTTGAGCCACTTTCGCCAGGTCATGGCTGTATACAGGCGAAACGAGGCCTTGATGTGCATGCTCTTCCCATCTAGCCTTGGAGACCTAGGCTTGACTTGGTTCGAGAAACTTCCAGAAGGCAGCATAGCCTCTTGGGCGCAATTGGCAGAGGCATTCGTAACATGGTTCCGAACAAACACTAAAACCCCGGTGGAGATCGACCAGCTACTCTCCATCGACATGGGTGACAAAGAGACCCTGAGATCCTACAACAGCCGCTACTGGGAGACTTTCAACCAGATCGGGGACTGTCCTACCAATCTCGCCATTGCGCAATACAAGAGAGGCCTTCCGGTCGGGAATAGACTAAGGGATTCAATCACCATGACACCACCCCTCACCATGGAGGCCTTGATGGAAAGAGTGCATTAGCACATCAGGGTAGAAGAGGATGGCGCACGTGCCAAAGCAAAATCTGGCGCGACCACAGTACCAGAAAAGAAGACCTCGGCAAAGGTCAACACGGTAGATCGACCAAACAGAAACGGACGTGGCAGACGAGACAACGGAGAGGACCAGGATAAAAGATGGTTGAGGATCCGCACGACCATAACCACAGTATTCAAGAAACTGATCTATCGGATTCTAAGCGAAATACGCGATGAGCCTTTCGTCAAGTGGCCCGCTAAGCTTGGAGAAGCACAGAAAGACTACGACGAAAGATCACGGTGCACCTTCCACAAAGAAAAAGGGCACCGCACTGAGAATTGCACGCCATTGAGACAGCACCTGGAGGAGTTGGTGGCAGCAGGTCACTTGGATAAATACATTGAAGGAGGGACGCAGCCAGCCCCCCAGGACCATAATAACCCCAACGGGATGCCAATCGACGCCCCACCTCAAGGCACTATCAATGTGATACATGGAGTCTTTGAACCCGAGCGTGTATGCGAGCTCAGGGGATCAATCAAAAAGGCTGAACACTTGAGAGAGGTGCTAAGTGCCCAACCTGCCACCAAGAAGGGGAAGACAGAGGCCACAAACGTCATGTCTTTTTCAGATAAAGACTTAGAATGGATATACTGCCCTCACAATGATGCCTTGGTCGTCACTCTCCGAGTCAAGGATTTTAACGTCAAGCGGATTCTGATTGACCAGGGTAGTTCAAGTGAAATCATGTACTACGAAACATTTAAACAATTGAAGCTACAAGACAAAGACTTGGCACCTGCCGTATCTCCCCTTATTGGATTCAACTCCATGCCAGAATGGCCCGTTGGCAAAATAATTCTTCCAGTCAGAGCAGGAAGCATGACGAAACAAGTAGAGTTCTGGGTATTGAAAGTCCCCTCCACTTACAACATCATCTTGGGCAGAACATGGCTGCATGCCATGCGATCGGTGGCGTCATCCTACCACCAAGTAATGCGGTTCCCCAATGACACCGGTGTAATTGAAGAGGTCTACGGAGATCAGATTATGTCCAAGCAATGCTTTGTCACGGTAAAC